GGAGAATAAATCACGAAGGAGGACCTTTTGTAGAAGATGAGGCTGTAGTGGAGGCCAGCTCTCAGCTTTCAAGTGGTTCTTCACATTTATGGCCGGTAGGCCACTAATAGTGGCTGGTAGACCACCTCTTGTGGCCAGCAGACCACCTCTTGCGGCCGGCAGGCCACTTCTTCTGGCCGGCATTCCACTTTTGTGGCTGATAGCCCACTTTTTCTAGCCTACTGTCCACTTCTGGATCTGGTAGTGTTGGCAGCCTGATTTTGTCTTGATCTTTGTGTTTTGAGGTCTTGTTTTGAGTCTTTTGGTTTTACCAAGTGTGTGTATTTGTGTTTTGTTTATCGAGTTGTATTTCGTATTTTGGTTATTGGTCGGCTCATTACTCGATTAAGAATATTGTTTCAATCAAGCGTTCTCGGTGGAAACTGAATCTGATACACATAATATTGTTTCAGACCTGCCTAGAGGAGGGGTTAGAATGATTGAAACAATATTGTGTGTATCAGATACAGGCATAGTATGCAGAATGAGTGTCATGCAGAAACCAGATACAGTATGAGTATAGTGTGCCAATACAGTGTATCAGTGCTGTTTGGGGAAGACTACAATGGAAGTGCTAATATATTAGTGGGAATATGATAGAGTGGTACACAACAGAGTTAGTAGTAAAATGCGTGTTGAAATAAAGGAATCAACCTGAATACCGTGAAGATCAAGCAGTGTCTCTCTCCTCTACACCATGACAATCAGAGAGGCAACTAGCTCGAGGAGGCTCTCTATATACTTCGTGGGTGCTTGCAAGTGCATTTGAATGATCAATATCTAGAATAATCAATATCTAAAATGAAAAATGTATTGTAAAGTGTGGTCCATACCTGAGGTGGGCCTCAAGCTCTGACATACTCGTGCCCTGCCTCTGCCGACTCGATCGAAATCTGGTAGTCTTTCCCAGTCGGCCACCAACATGTAAGCACAGTGGGAATCTCCGGCCAACCAGTCATCTACCCAACGGGAGGGGCCCCTCTATTATCAGTCCCGGCCTCATCAGTAGCCTCACTTGCCATGGGAGCACCTACTGCCTTGCCCGTGGAAATGCCCGTCAATGGGGCATGAAATGAGTCTGAATGAAAGCCGCGTAGTTGCTCTATGCTCTGAAGAAATCACCATCTAGGCCCACCATCAATTGGATAATTGCCTCAACTAGGAGGCTATCTGCTGTCCTCATGGACGCTGGGGGTGGCATGAAAATAACTAGATCGGGCAAGTCTATGGTCTTGTGTACAAATCGCTCAATCAATAACCAGGCTCGGTAGACTGGTCCCTCCAGCAAAATATGGAATCGGGATATAGCCCAAGCCCCGGCATACTGGCCCCTCACATCAGCCGGCATCGTCGCCCAAGGCTGCCATGTAATCTGCAAATAGAGAATGTACAGATTATTAATTGCCGTCAGTTGCCAAAGTACGAATCAGAAAAGTAGTAAAGCAAAAATGACTGTGAGTTTTAGGTTACCTTGTCAGCGGCCACTGTGTCGAAGTATCGATAGAAGAATGCGAAGGTCGTGTCGTCGCGACTCCAAAGCCGGCACCAGCCTTCATACTGTCGTGAGTACGGCACCACGGGGGAAATCTCCTCCACAGGCTCCAGAGCCAGAGTTGGGAAGTAGGCATAAACCTACAACTACAAGGAGAAGGCAGCGGTATTATCAACAATGCATGAACAAATACAAAAAGTTCAAAGCAGAAAGCACAATGCATGAACAAATACAAAAAGTGCAAAGCAGAAAGCACAATGCATGATATGATACAGATAGTGCAAAGCAGAAAACACAATGCATGAACTGATATAAAGCAGAAAGTATAAAGCAGAAAGCGCAGTGTATGAACAGATATTGAACAGAAAGTGCAAAAGTAGAACAGTGTGGTGCATACCTCCCAGGCTCTTCAATAGCCTTCGACTCGCTTTCCCATCATGCGAGAAGTGGAGCGCATGTAGCCATAGAGTGTGGCGAGGTCAGCTCCGCTCTAGTCATAGAACCGAACTCGAGGCAACATCACCAGGGCGCTCAACAAGTATTAACCTATGGTGTTCCACCTATTTGCGAACAAGGTGGTACCGAGGAGGAACATCAAGAAGCCCCTGGCATACTACTCCACCTCTTCCGGTGTCTTAGGCTCGCTCCTGCCAAAACGCTCAGTGAACCAACTATACTTCACCATCATCGGTCTGTATAGAGGTGGGCGCTCTCCGAGCAGGTGGATCCATGCTGCCTCCTACTCGCCCATATCTATGTCGAAGGGGATCGGATCACCCCTATTCCTAAGCCTGTGAGCATGGCAAATTCGCAGGGAGTCATTGTCATCTCCCTAGCAGAAGAGAGGTGGAAAGAGTTGGTGGTGTTCCACCACCTCTCAACCAACACTCCAAGAAGAGCCCGACTAGCTATGTGACGTGAAAGTCCAGAGTAGAATAGGCCGAAGTCGACCTCATCAACATGGTCCCAGACCTCTAGAGGGAGCTCATAGTACCAGTCTCTCGCTGTCATTGCCCCATACCCCCTATAAGCACGGGAGTCCCTTTGTGGTAGAGAAAAAGTGTAGCAAATGAAAGACAGTGATAAAGAGCATACAGATGAGAGCCAGTGTAAGAAAGATAATTAAAGGAAAAACATGAAAGCTTGTAAATGGAGTTCGTACCTCAGTAGCACTACAGGAAAGATGGGAGTCCGGCTCCCTCAGTAGAACGTCCTCTGGTACACCACGAATGAAATCGCTGAAGCGCCTAATGCCTCCAGACGGCAGTATGTGTGTGCGAGGATGATAAGTTAGGGGATCAAAGGGTCGTACCCCCAGTGGTAGTGGCTTAGGCTCGAGCTCTAGAATGAACTCCGCCTCAAGATCAGCTATGATGCCCTTCGCCGCCTCACCAGCCTTAGCGATCACCAGCTCCTCAACCTCGATATGGGGTGATAATGGAGGTGGAACCTCAGGAGGAGCCCCGTCATGAGGAATATCATCCACCATCTAGAAAGTGGGTGAAAAATGGGTGGAAAATGAAGAAAAATAGAAAAAAAGGATAAACTTGGAAAAAGTCAACCCTAGGAGAGAGAAAATGGGAGAAAATGTCAAAACTCGGGGAAGTTCACAAAATCTGAGAGAAACTCAAGGAGAACAAGCCTAGAGTGGTGAAAACTCAAGAAAAGCAGTGAAATCAAAATCTGATCAGTTCAAAGTGTAGAGAATCAAGGGTGTTTAGCGAATAAAGTTTGCGAGGGCATTGGAAAGCGTGTATAAACTATGGATCTAGAGAGAGGAAGCACCTAGAGAGAGAGGGTGAAGATTTCAGATGTGTGGGTGTGTGAAAAGTGAAGCCTTGAGGTGTATATATAAAGACCAGAAGTAAAATGGCAGTTTTGCCCCCCGAAAGTGCACCGGTGGCCGGCAAGCCTTACTAGTGGCCGACAGGTGGCCGGCGATCCTCCCTTGTGGCCGACAGGTGGCGGTGGTCTTCATTGGTGGCTTGGATCTGTTGTGTACCTCATTTGCCATGGAAATGTATGAGAGGTTCTCTTTTGGGTTCAAATTGATCTTTGAGGAGCTTAGAACTGTGTTCTGATTGTGCCATTTCCAATACTAGTTGTATTCTGGCGCGCAAATGTTCTCAACTTGCCAATGTAAACGGGGTGTATCCTTGTTGAGGATGTTGCAAAGCCTTTGAGGGGTAAATCGGGGGTTGTTACCGAATATCGTTTTCATTACATATTTGTTGTCTTCTGTTGCATAGCATATGTATTTTCATATACTTATGATTGCGCGCATGTCTTGCACCATTCATGAGTCATGCATGGAATATACTCTCAATTTTGCATAGAATATGCTCTTGTTTCTTGCATAGAACATGCTTTCAATTAGTATCATGCATCAGTTGTCTATCTTGCATGGAACATGCGTTGTCACTGTATTGATTTGTAATCTTGTTCATTTTGTGCATCTATCGCACTTGTTCACTTTGTGCATTTATCGCACTTGTTCATTTTGTTCATCTATCGCACTTGTTCACTTCGTGCATCTATCGCACACTCTCACTATTGTGTTTATTTGTGGTATATTCTTGTACCTATTGCTTGCATCTCAAGATGCGTGAAGCACGGCCCTAGGCAAATTTTATCTCGGGACACGTGAAATGTAACCTCGAGCGGTTTTTCTCCTCCCCTCACGATTTCAGCGTGATTAGAGTATCTTAGGATGCATGAAGCGCATGCTTGGGCGGGTTTTACCTTGTGACATGTGAAACGCGAGCCCGAATGGGTTTTCTCCTATCCCAGGACGCGTGAAACGAGACCCTGAGTGGCTTTGCTTTAATCTCAGGACACGTGAAGCGCGACCTTGAGTAGTTTTCATCTTAGGACGCGTGAAGCGCAACCTTGAGCAGTTTTCATCCCGGGACGAGTGAAATGCGATCCCAAGCAGTGTTTTCTTTTCCCATGGCATGATTGGAGTGTGTTTTAGGTCTTTTTGCATGGAACCTGTGTTAGTTTGAAGCTTGAAGCTGCTCATTCATATGTTGTTATCTTCTTATTACTTATTGCATCATCTTGTATGATCATGAGTTTTCAAAATAGCCGGCTTCGCGAAGCGTGTGAGTCCTGCTTCAAAGTTGTTTTTTTTGTGCATATTGTTTGCATCTTGCCCTAGAACTACACAGGTTTGATTCATTGTAAAGAGATATGCAGGTAGCTTGCGAGCTCAACCAATTTAATTTATGTCTTGATTGTTGGCCCAAGTCTTACGGCCTTGTCAAAATGGGTCGTCTTCGGGCTTTGACATTCACTCACACCATTTCATAACTTTGAGTTCTGTCAAAGAGGGGCAACTGTAGACACCCAATTTTTGACCGGACTTGGACACCACCGCTTGTGCACCCAATAATGAATATGTGTATGTGTCACACCCCAAATCTGGGCATGACGTGGCCCACAAGGACTCAACCAAGGTCTAAAGTCTTTAGACAAGCACTTTAGACAACACTTTATAAATGCAGCTGATAGGTCTAAAGTCTTTAATTGATTCAGGACAATTAGATTTAGGAACAAGAGTCACAAAGGAACAATTAATGCCATTTCCCAACACCCCATTAGCATGAAACTCCTTCATAAAATCCATGATATCACCCTTCATGATCTTCCAACCCTTTTGAATGCAAAACAAGTTAAATCCATCTGGACCTGGAGCTTTGTTTCCATCACATTCTTTAACTGCTACCCAAACCTCTGCTTCTGAGAAATCTGACTCCAAACGCTGAAGTTGGCCTTGATCAATGCAACTAAATTCACCCCCTAGTCTTGGCGTCACTTTCCAACCTTCAGTGAACAAATCTTTAAAATAAACCCACACAGGTAGCTTGCGAGCTCAACCAATTTAATTTATGTCTTGATTGTTGGCCCAAGTCTTACGGCTTTGTCAAAATGGGTCGTCTTCGGGCTTTGACATTCACTCACGTCATTTCATGACTTCGAGTTCTGTCAAAGAGGGGCAACTGTAGACACCCCATTTTTGACCGGACTTGGACACCACCACTTGTGCACCCAATGATGAATATGTGTATGTGTCACACCCCAAATCTGGGCATGACGTGGCCCACAAGGACTCAACCAAGGTCTAAAGTCTTTAGACAACACTTTATAAATGCAACTGATAGGTCTAAAGTATTTAATTGATTCAGGACAATTAGATTTAGGAACAAGAGTCACAAAAGAACAATTAATGCCATTTCCCAACACCTCATTAGCATGAAACTCCTTCATAAAATCCATGATATCACCCTTCATGATCTTTCAACCCTTTTGAATGCAAAACAAGTTAAATCCATCTGGACCTGGAGCTTTGTTTCCATCACATTCTTTAACTGCTACCCAAACCTCTGCTTCTGAGAAATCTGACTCCAAACGCTGAAGTTGGCCTTGATCAATGCAACTAAATTCACCCCCTAGTCTTGGCGTCACTTTCCAACCTTCAGTGAACAAATCTTTAAAATAAACCCACACAGCCTGTTTTAACTCCAAGGGCTCCTCATATAAAGTATCATTAATCTTCATTGAATCAATAAGGTTCCTACTTTGTCTTCTGGAGGCCATGATATGAAAGCATCTAGTGTTTTTATCCCTTTTTAATGCCCAATTTAATCTAGACTTTTGTAACCAGATCGACTCCAATTTTTTTCTACTCTGCCAAACTTCATCTCTGACTTCAATTCTCTTTCTAGCTTTTGCTTCTGTAAGATCTCTCTCTTCCACAACTAAATCCCAGGAGTGTAACTCAGCTTCAGCTACTTTAAGTTTAGATACCACATGCCCAAAGACCTCCACATTCCAAATCTTTAATGCTTGCTTGAGTGACCTCAATTTGGCCATAATTCTAAAGCCAGCCCAACCCTCTACTGGTGCACTAACCCAAGCCTTTTTAACTTCTTTAAGAAAGCTGGGATGTAACACCTATGCACTTAAAAATTTGAAAGGCTTGGGACCCCAATCCTGCTCATCTTCCTTCAAAATGATTGGGCAATGATCAGACAAAATTCTAGGAAGGCCCCATAACTTAAAACTAAACCATTCAAGCCACTCTGGGTTTAATAGAAATATATCGATTCTACTCCAGCACACTCCTAACTGTGAATTACTCCAAGTGTATTGCCTCCCTAACATAGGTACATCCACCAATTTCAGTTTATTAACGAAACCATTGAACTCCTGCATGCCCCCATCACTTCTAACACAACCTTTCCTTTCCCTTATATTTTTAATTTCATTGAAATCCCCCTCCCCTTAAACACCAAGGTTCAGGGAAGGAGGCTTTTAGATTAGCTAGAACCTCCCAAAGATGCCTTCTCCCACTACTATGACATAGACATTAACAATGAAACAGCCAAGTCTGAGATAGGCTAAACCTGATAACAAAACCAAATTCCTGGACCTGCAACAACCCGTAATCTGAAAGACCTCAGGTTTCCACAAACACAACAAACCCCCTGAACTCCCTTCTACATCAACCCCTATATACCCCAGGTCATCTCCTGGCCATAGGAATCTAGCGAAATTCTCATCCATACATGACTTCTTCGTTTCTTGAATCAAAACCATATCCGCCCTTTTTTCCTTTATGAAATTTCTGAACCTCCTTCTTTTCTTAGGCTTACCCAAGCCTCTAACATTCCAGGAAAAAATTTGCATTGTGAAACTACTGTTACTCCTAAATCTCCCTGGGTGCAAACTTAAGCACCACCACTGATTCCTTTTTTGGGTACTCTTTCCTCATCTTGCTTTTCCATCTCCATAATTTTCCAAATAACACTCTCTTCATTACCTCCAATTTCAATACGCAGAGCTTTCCCCATCTTTACAGTTTCATGGGCTTCACTTTGATTCAAACTCTGTCGATATGAACCAGTACTAACAGACATGGATCACGAAATTGCAGATGCCGCTACTCGGAACATTGCTCCTCGTGGAAAACCCCTACAAAATTGAGTAGCACCTCTAATTTCCTTTTTCCGTTTTGGCCTTGAAACTTGAGGATCAAGCTATCCCTTAGCTTTACTGGTTGAAACTTGAGCAACCTTCTTTCCCTTATCCTTTTTTGCCAAAAAATGTTGCTCACCATCTGTAACAGCTTGAGTCGAAAAATCCTTCTTCCCCTTATCTGTTATTTGTACTGGAAATTGGTCAGAGCCTGAGTCGTCTTGACCTTCAATGACCTTCTTTCCTTTGACAGTTCTATTCTGAGTTGGTTGTTCAGAACTTGAATCCTCATTAGGCTGGGCTTCAGACACTTGGTAAAAAGGAGGCACTAGAGTAATTGGCCTAGGATCCACCATATTTTGTTGATCTAGGCCCATACCTAAGCCATTACATAACCCTTCAAATTGGGCCTGATTTAGCACTACCTCCAGATTAATATTGGGCCTAATAATTCCATTGTCACTGATGCTTCTCATTACTCCGGTTGATTCAAAATCACCAACGACTCTACAATTTCCCACAACTTGGCTCTGTAGAACTTTGCTTTGCATGCTTGCCTTGGAACCTACTCCGCCTTCAGCTGCTTTTTGGTTTTCCAAAACTGTAGCCGTTTTATCAACAATTGAAACTATGGATGAGATACCATGGCCACCTTGCATTAACCCCTTCACTTCCATGTCAACCCACTTGGTCTTTTCTACCTCACTTTGGACTGCCACATCATCATTTCGGGCATGTTGTCAGCATCATCTTCCTCTTTGTCCAACTATTTGGACATAGAACTCTGGTCCACTCTCCCATGGCTACCTTTAGCAGACCATGATGTACTTCCATTAGCAACCTCACCAGAATGATGCCCATGTCTCTGTTCAAAACACTCCACAACTTTTATTTGGTATGAAATACCCTTGCTTTCCATGGTAACTGTCTTGTCAATAGTTTCCAACTGCGATGTAATAACCTTCACCTTACCATATTTCAGGGATGCCAAGCTCAAAGTTTCTTCATGAATGGCCACCACTTCGCCCCAAAGCTCACCTATTCTTTTAAAATTATGTGGGTTCCACAGATTTGGTGGAACACCAAGACAATACAACCAAGTCAACCTTTCACAATCAACAAGCATTCCTTTCTCCCACTCCGTTGCTGACTCACACTAGTTCTCAGCCTATTTGATGATCTCAGTATTTCTGTTCCTTACTTCTTGAACTGACTGGAAATTTACATATGCTAATCTACCCCCACCCTCCTTAACCTCAACATTTTGTAGGCCTATGGTCTGCAAATCGTCCTTGAATTTTCCAAATGAGAGTTGTGGTCTCAGCTTGACCATCAAGCTGTTGAATAACCAGTCATTCCCATATTGTACTACATGAAAACCCAGTACTGATTCCTTTTTCAACACTCCACCTTTGACCACCTTAGCATATGTGTACCTGTTCCTTGGTTCCTCCACTACTTTTCTGAGCATCATTAATGGTTTCTTTGTTCCTAGTATCATTTGCTCCTTGCCAAAATCAGCTTTCTTCACTTTCAGGACTTTATTTTCGCACCACGCACCATTGGCTTTCTGTATTTCTACTCCCGCTGCTACCGGACAGTCAAATCTCACAAATCTGAGTCTTGATCTCGTTGCCTTTCTTCTTTTGGCTGGAATGAACACATCATTTACAACCCCAAACTTAGAGAAGGGTGAGAATAGTCCTTTTGGATTCATTTCTTCAGGTAGATCATCCACAAACACTGTGTGAATACAAGAATTTATCCCATGACTTCGAAATCTTCTCTTAAACACTGATTGCCAACCTCCTCTGTTAACTTCAGTTCTTCCCCCCTCCATCTTTTCGATAAATCTTTTACAAACTCACGAAGTTTAATATCAGCATAGAAAACTTATTGCTAATAATCTCATTATTAGTGATAAAAATTTAAGATCTATTAATGTGAGTATGGGCTCAGAGCTGGACTTGGCCCATTTGGGACTAATTAACAAAATATAAAAATTGTAAAACAAGTTTTAAAATGCCAGGTCTCATGTAGTCCACTTGGCCAGGAAAATTGTCTGGGTCACGGGCCCACCTCGCAAGTCCATGATCAGTCCAAATATTTTAGGTTCTGGCTGGCTTGCCTTTGGGCTTATTGATGCAACCTATGAACATGAAATGACAGTTTGCTAGTTGTGAGACTGATTAAATGATTTACATGTTTAAGTTTATGTTATTAGAAACTGTGTATGTAAAAAATTTCATCTCGAAAAGCCTGCAAAAGGGAAACTTTAAGCTCATCACATTAAATATTTGAGTATGGAAAATTTATGAAATACCTATACATAATGATTTGACTGCGTTTTGAGCCTATTACTTTTGTTTAAAGAGCCCATCAAAATGCCATTAAAAACTGACACTACAACATCATTATGCTGCAAAATTGTGTAAAAATTTTGGTGTCATTTTTTTTTTGATCAGCAAAAAAGAAAAACTTTATTGATGAACAAAATAGAAGAACAAAAATAAAGAAAATGGATGGATGCAAAAAGCATCAAAGCGAAACAAATCGATCCCAACTAGGTTGTCACCAATAGGATCGGCCAATCATATGCTAGCACTCTATCAAGAGTTTGTGAGAAACCAACAACAAACAAAGAAGAGAAACAAACAGTAGAGGACAGACAATCAACTTCCATCATAGACAACAACCCTCCATGAATCTCCTCTGCCCACAGAAAACAAATAGCATGCATAGTATGAGAAACCAACAGACAACAATCCTCCATGAGCAACCAACAGACAACCTTCATCACAAACAACAATCCTTCATGAATTTCCTCTGAAAAATTTTGGTGTCATAACATTTTCCTAAACCCTTTCAACCCAATTCATCACAATTCATATGCCATGGAATGGAATAGAAAGTTGAAACTTGTTTTACTTATTTACAGCTGAGCTACTAGGCTTTGATGATTATATTCCTCCTTATTCAACTATAAAAGATCAAGACATACTAGGAGTGAATTATGATGCATCTGCAGCTTCTGGAATTAGAGATCAAACTCCGCAGCTATCGGTATTTAATTAATCTAATATTCTCTAATTATTTCTCTAGTGAAGAGATTATATTTCTTGCACTAACTGGTGTACACATATTTTGTTTGTCATTATAGGTTGGTGGGAGGATTTGTATGAATGAGCATAGTTACAGAAATACTACATTAATGCAAGTGGTGAACATACTAGGTAATGATGAGGACTTGGTTGTAATTATTTCCAACTTACTAATCTTAATCCAATTACACCTTACTACGAATGCTAAAGCTCAAGAATTCTCTTTCTCTCTCTCTCTCTCTCTCTCTCACACACACACACACATACACACACACAAATACCCTAAAGGTTAAATTCAGACCAAAAACTATGTTTTTTAAATTTTTTTTCTCTATCTGAATTTTTTTTATTCTAACATTCCCACTAACCATAAGTGCATTTATTGTTTGCATTGCTCATAGCATAGCTTGTTATCTGTAATCAATTTCAAAATAGGGTTCGGATCCTCTCCAATTAACTGCATTTAGGTTGGGTTTGAGGTTGACTGTTTTAATCAAAAAAAAAAAAAATTGAACTATTTTTACAGCTAAGACAACTAATCGGTTTAGGAAGTTATTAAAATAACTATTTTTTGTGAGTTCAAAAAGCTAATGTGAAGATTTTTAACCGACGACAAACAGTTATGGTTGTTTTTTTTTTTTTATAGAAATAAATCACTTTTTAAAGTTGTTTTCAAGCAACGACTTTGTGAGTCCACGACTCTTTCTCACAACCATATTCCAATTAGCTAGAGGAAAAAGTCGCGTGTTTTAAAGTAAATGCTCATTTTGTCCAACTAGTTAAACTTATCAAACTACAATTGCCTTTTATTTTTATTGTTATTTTTCATGATTTTTGTTTCTGAACATTTTTTATGTTTTCAAACCTTACATTAATAGACAATGGAATTGTTCAATTTCTATTAGAATGTAATATGTTGGCTTAAGATTTGGGTTCTATTGGACACTGTAGTGCTATATTGATGCGCTCGATATATCGGTTGGCATAAAAATTACATTTGTATCAACCGGTTTTGGATACGTATCATCTTATAGCAAATTTGCGAGCCATTTCTCAACTAATCCTATTGGTTCAGAGTCAAATACAAATGGTTGCTATAAAAATATTTTTTGTGGCTGATAACACCAAATTTCCTTTACATATCGCTTCCTAGTCCTGATATTGTTACATCACAACCGATACCAATATGTTTGTCGATACTGTTATTTAAAATCATTGCTTGCTTGCTACTATTAACATACTCATTTTAAGTACACTTTGTAGGTCAATTTCTTGGTTTTGAAAATTTAACTCCACCTTGTTCAATTGAAAGAGGCTCAGAGGGCATCCTTGTGGGTGTAAACTATAGATCAGGTGGTGCAGGAATTCGCGATGAAACTGGAGAAGAACTGGTAATTAGATGGGGTGTATATGTGTGCGAGTGCTCATACATGTTGTTTCGTTAACACATACTCCAAACTTAGAAACTGTGTCCAGTTAGAGAAAAAAAAAACTCATATTTTTTGATTAATTCATTAACTCGTGTTGAAGAGAAAGTAATTTGTTTTTTTTTAAAACAGCGAAAAAGGAAAATTTATTGATAATGATCATGCTAAGTTACGTTGACAATCATCAATAAAAAAATGGGGGAGCAGAGAGTATCATAACAAAACTACCCAATCCCAACTAGGTTGGCATCGATGAGCATGTCCAGTCATATGCTAGCACTATCCAAAGTTGGTAAGACACCAACACAAAAAGCAAACAGCACAAGAGAAAGCAACAGATTTACAACTAGAATGAATCCTCAGTAGCAAAGATTTCTGAATTAGCATCCTAGAACCAGTCTACTCCCTAAACTACCTCTGATTGGTCTGAAATTGAACAAGAAGTGTTGAATAGTGAAATGAAAATCCTTGAATTTGTGATTCAGCCAAAGTGCAACTCTAATCTTAATCAAATCACACAAGTCCTCCAACTTCGGTGTAGCAAATTGGAAAATACACTCATTTCTAAGCTTCCATAGTGATCATAAAACAGCTGGAGGAATAACCTTCCAAAGCAACTTTTTCTTTCTGTTCAGTTTATCCTAAACCCACCAATGTAATACAGCTTCCACAAATTCAGGTAGAGCCCCTTGCATCTCCCACCAATTCAACATTGCCGCCCAAACCTTCCATGCGAAATTACACTGCAATAGCACATGGCATAAAGATTCATTCTCAGCTTTATAGAAAACACAAAGGGCTGGTGCATTATCCTGAATTACACCAATTTTGCTAAGAAAGTCTGCTGTTTTGACTCTATTTTTCTAGGCTAACCAATAGAAAAATTGAACCTTTGAAGGTGCAAATTTGTTCCAGACCAACTTCCAAGTACTAAGGAGAGGATCAAGGGAGACAACTGCACTTTAATAAGAAGAGGAAATAGAGAACTGCCCAGAACCTGCAGCCAGCCAGGAAAGATTGTCCTTCTGATCATCACCTAAACCAGTGACAAACTGCAAAAGCTCTTTGAGTCTACTTACTTCCCTCTCTTCCCACTCAAACAACCTTCTTCTTAAGTTAAAATTCCAGTCCCCAAAGGCGACCCTCCTGTCTTACATTGATCTTAGGGTTTCATCATTTTCCATCACCAATCTATACAGAATAGGAAATTCATCTTTCAAGCAATAATTGTTACCCCATTTGTCCTTCCAGTAGTTAGTGCTTTGACCATCCCCTATCTTAACTTGAACATTGATAGAAAAGAACATTATCAGATTATTTCTCCTCTCAGGTAAGGAGGCGATTCCTTTCCACACACAAGAGTACCTGCTGCTAGAGCTAGAAGAGGGGAACCAGCTTTTGACATCCAGATTATATTTGATGCAGATAATCTTTTTCCACAAAGCATCTTTCTCTTTACCAAACCTCCATCCCCATTTTAATAACATACAATCATTTACCAACCTAACTCTCATATTGTCTAATTCTCCCTGCTTCACACTCTTTGCTACTTCATCCCATTTAACCACGTGGATTGGTTTTCTTGACGCTGACCCACCCCAAGGAAAGGCAGCCTGCAGCTTCTCAAATTCTTTTGCTACTTCTATAGGCATTATAAATAGAGATAGATAGTACCATGGCAGGGCAGAGGTGATAGATTTTAATAGAGCGAGCCTCCCAGAGAATGAAAGCAGCTTCCTTTTCCATCCTACTAATCTGCATTTGACTTTGTCAAGAACTAGCTTCCAAGTTGCCTTCTTATTTGAATTAGCCCCCAAAGGCATACCTAAATACTTTAAGGAAAATGCCCTAGTTTTACAATGTAACTTTGAGGCAAAACAGGATAAAGACTCCTCAGGTACATTAATTCCACACACCTAGCTTTTATGGTAATTTATTTTCAGCCTAGAAATCAATTCAAAGCACCTTAGAACCCTCTTGATGTTGCACACCTCCATCTCCTCAGCTTCACAAAATAATATGGAATCATCTGTAAATTGCAAATGTGATAACAACACCCCACTAGAACCAACCTTCACTCCCTTAATTAGGCCAATCTGCTGTGCTCTTGACAAAAGTATATTAAGGCCCTTAGCTGCTATATTGAACAGAAATGGGGACAGAGGGTCGCCTGGTCTTAGACCCTTTTGAGGGGAAAACTCCTCAGTTGGCGAACCATTAACTAACACAGAGAGTTTTGTAGAGGTAACACATTCTTTTATCCAACTAATCCACTTTACTCCAAACCCAAAGTTCAATAGCATAGATGTTAGGAAACACCAATTTACATAATCAAAAGCCTTTTCAAAGTCAAGCTTGATAATCACTCCACTCCTTTTGGTTTTTCTCTAACCATCCACCACTTCATTAGCAATTAAGACACCATCCGAAATGTTTCTACCTCCGATGAAGGCCGATTGAGTATCACTGATGATGTGAGGAAGCACCCTTTTTAGTCTACTAGACAAAACTTTTGCTAGAACTTTATATATTGATCCAACTAGGCTTATTGGTCTATAGTCTCCAAGCCCCACTGGATTTTCAATCTTTGTTATTAGTGAAATAAGGAGCTATTAATACCCAAAGCCAACTTTTCATTCCTATGAAATTCCTTAAAGAACTTCAATAAATCAACTTTCATCATTTTCCAATTTTTTTGAAAATAAGCCAAGTTGAAGCCATTTGGCCCTGGGGCCTTGTTGCCATCGCAGTCATTCACAGCAGCCCTAATTTCTGCCTCTTAAAATTCTACTTCCAAACTTTCAAAGCCAAGAGTTTCATGAACTGATTTGAATTGACCACCTAGCTTAAGTCTACCTCTGCGATCTTCTGAGTACAGCTTTCTAAACTGTTGAAAAATTTCTTGCCTGACCTGAGCAGGATCTTCACACACAGCATTCCCTATGGATATTGAAGAGATCTCATTTCTACTTTGCCTACCCTTCGTCAACACATGAAAAAACCTGGTGTTTCTATCACCTTTCAAGTTCCAATTGAGCCTTGATTTTTGCAACCACAGCCACTCAACCATTCTACTTAGCCTCCATGATCTCTGACAACTCTTCTTCTGGCTTTTTCTTCATTATCTAAGTCTCTAAACTTGGCAGATAAATCTAGGAGATGCAGTTCCTCTTCTGTTTCTTTCAACTTCACATTCCCATGTAAATACCTCTTTGTGCCATTTCTTTAACTCTAACTTCAATAGTTTTAACTTCTTTAGCAAGATATAGCCAGCCCGACCTGCAACTTCTGCTCCTTCTAGGTCTTTTCCACAAAAGCTGGAAAACTTGGGTGGAGACTCCAAGCATTGATGATTCTAAAAGGCTTAGGTGCCCAATCTCTTTCATCCTCCATAAGCAATAGAGGGCGGTGATCAGAAATGAGCCTTGGGAGACCCCAAAGCTTCAAGTTGAACACCTCCAACCATTTAGGATCCATTAACACCCTATCTATTCTACTCCATTTGTCTTCTGCTAGTGAGTTACACCAGGTATATTTTCTGCCAAGTAATGGGAGATTAGTAACTTCACATTTGTCAATAAATTCATTTAGTTCTCTCATTCCTTTATCTCGTTTGTAGCAACCCTTCCTTTCACCTAAGCTTTTTATCTCATTAAAATCTCCACATAAGCACCAGAGGCTAGGAAATTCCTTTTTTTTAGCTTTAACAAGCAATCCCATAGTTTTCCCCTATTTTCCACATCATTAGGTGCATATATATTAAGTATAACAAAATCAAAGGAATTAAAGAAAGTACTTGAGAGAAAAATGAATCTCCTATTACAACAACACTCCTTAAGCTGAAATACCTCTGGGTCCCAAATGCAGAGAAGTCCCCCAGCTAGGCCTTCAGAGTACACAGTCAAAAATTCCATTTTGTTTTTTGCCCGCATTGCTCTTACTTCCTTTTCTACTAATGCAAAGTTTTTGGTTTCTTGAAAGAAAGCAATATCCACATTTCTATCTTTTAGAATGTTCCTAATTTTGCCCCTCTTTTCTTGTCTACTTAATCCTCTGATATTCCAAGATAGCAGCTTCATACTTATTAAACACACACCTATGAAACTCCTTTGGTGGACACAACTTAGGCTTCAGCACCATTACCCCTTTCAATCCGACCTATATCTTTAATTTTGAGTTCCACAATCTTTTTTAGAACCTTAGCTTTCTTCCCATTCATCTCCACACTCAGCAATTTTTCCCATTTGCAAACAAGCTTAAGCTTCATCCAGAATAGGGTTGCCTCTATCCCTACCACTGTCCATTGAAGCTAACATTGAGGCTTCAGCCATAGAAGTTCTAGGCAGAGCTTGTTTTGGAGTTGATTTGCTTGTTGATGCACCCTTCAATCCAATTCTTTTTTCCAGACCTAAGAACCCTTTTTGGGCCGAACATAGCTGATCTTCTTTTTACCTTTTGCTTTTGCCTTACCTTTGTGTTTTAAGGCTGCAAACCTGTGCTTTATACTTACGTCATGTGTTTGAGAAATATTGGACTCATTAGACTCACGAAGAACATGCCCAACACCAACTACTTTTTCCTTTGCATGGGTGTCACACAACATAGGCCCACACTGTACTTCATTCAGCCCACCCAACTCACAATTCAACTTATTGTGGCCCAGAACCACTTCCAACCTCAGCCCAGACTTATTTAGACTTGAGCCACTCAAACTTCTCATAAAACCAAGCATGAAAATTTGTCCATCGTGACCCTGATTAGAGCCTTTAAGTCATTAAATGTACTGCTAACTGCCACTATTTTTTTACAATCTTTTGTCTCGAGCACCTTGCCCCTTCTGTATCACTCTTCCATTGTGACTCTCTTACCTCATCTATTACATTTTCATCTCCACGTGTCTGCTCACCTCTGGTCTCAATCTTGTGTTGCTCTTGCCCCTGAGCTGACTCACCTCCTATGCGTTAAGTTGACTCGACAATGTGATTCTGAGATGGCTCACCATCACCAGCTCCATTAGAGTCATCTTTCTCTCCAGTATCTTCGACTTCATTTGAGCTATGATCCTCCTCCACATCTTGGTGCTTCTTACATCTGCAACAATGGTTGATTGAGTTTGCTACGACTACCTGATCTTCCCAAACTCTCACTGGATATGAAGACTGCTTGGTCTCCAAATAAATAACTTGATTCATTGGCTACATGCACTTGGTGATAATCTTGAGCTTACCACAATCAAGAGCTTGAGACATGTATTCAGCTTCTTCAATGACTTCTCCTCATAAAGTATCAATCTTAATTAATTGGACCTATTCCATAATGTAATGGAATGCCATAACAGCTAATCCATACTAGTCTTTCCTGTGCAAGGATTAGCTCTGGCCTCCAATGATTAATGTCTTCACACCAATCTTCAATAATAGTTTTGATGGCCTTCATCTTTGTCTCCATTACCTCCTTAGATTTGAATGATAATACCACATCTCTTCCTCCACCGTTGTGGACTTCATACCCATCTATTCCTCTTTCTTTAAGTTCAATCTTCAGGCTGATGTCAACATATCTGGCTTTCAGATGAACTGCAACACTGTCATGCATCCACCCATTACCATACTCCTCCGCCTTGACTACAGAACCATTACCCCTTTCCGAGCTACCTCTTTCTACATCCACAAATGACTTCTTGCTTGTGAAATGATTTCGTTCTCTCCAAACCTCCGCACTGCGGTTTGGTTGTTTTGGTGATTGAAAATGGATCTGCCCCTGCTCTCTGTTTCTATCATACTCAGCAAATTTCACTCCAAACTTTTTATCATCCACCCATAATCCATGAGCTTTTTGCACTGCTACCTTTGCTGCTACTTCGCAACTATATCTTACAAAGCTAAATCTTGTGTTGGTGTTTCTTTTTCTCTTTTGTGGTATGAAGATGTCTTTTATAACTCCAAACTTCCTAAAGAGATTAAACAAGCCTTTGGGATTCAATGAGCTAGGTAAATTGTCCACGAACACCGTGAAGACTGCTGCGCTGTCCACTTTCCACCCCGCTTCTTGCTTTCCTCTTTGTTTGACCACCAGAATCCATCCTCCTCACTTGGACATTCTTTATCTCTCTCTCTCGCATAAACTCGCATCTGGTTGAAGAGAAAGTATGACCCCAAATAGAGCACACACAAGCCTTTGTTCAATTAAGATGACACAATAGAGTGTGAATAATAGAAATAACATAAATATTTTTTTTCCGCCTATTTTAGAAAAAAAAATTGCCCTATTTGAGATAGGCATTATTACAACTATGCCTAGATTTCTTGTTTACTTCTTATAATTACAGGATACTCTATCATAGCAAATTTCCATGTTATCTACATATAGCTGATGGTTTAATCATTTCATAGAATTAGGTGCAAACAATAACTTTTCATATTTCCAACCAGGGTGATCGGGTCAATATGAATAATCAGTTACTAAACCATCAAACCATAGTATCACGCATTGCCACCTTACTAGGAGGTGAAGAGGTGACTGCAAATTACCTAAGCAAGTGCATATATTCGATTGGAATGGGAAGTAATGATTACATTAACAAGTACTTATCGTCGGAGTATTATCCAATAAGTCGTTTATATACACCAAAACAATATGCATTGAGAGGGGAGATTTGCGCTGTTAGTACGGCCGAACAGGGATTGGACGGGTCTGTTTTGCTCGGTCTCGAGGATCGGCTGACTGGGCGGAAACCAAGCCTGGCCAAGCTGCAACTAGCAAACATTCGGCGGTGCGCACAGCTAAGAGGCGAGACCGAGCTATGGATAGCTCGGGGTAAACTATGGACAAGGGAGGGATGACGCGTCTCTGACCGGTGAGCCAAGATAGGAAGATTCAATATAACCTCGGATGAAGGTAGAACGGACGGGGGCCGGCATGCCTCGCGACCGGTATGCCACGAAGAACCGGTCAACTCCAGCCCGGTCCATGGGCGTCCCCCCCGCCACCCCTTTGCCAAGGGGCAGTCCGGTGGGGGATAGCGCGGTTGAGAGCCTGTAGCGATAGTTCTTCTTAGGAAATAGGCCGGTCGTGGTACTGCGGTTAGGTGTGCCACCTGGTCCAATGGCACAAAGGAAAGGACGTCTGCTCCACATATGCCTCAATACCGTTAGGCAGTTCTGCGTGTACTGTTGGGAGGACTAGGCCTTTACACGCGTAAGGTGGTGAGAGGCGAGTACTGCCACCTATCTTGGGAAGGACAGCAGAGGTAGTGCGCGCATAATCTTGAGGCTGCATGGCCAGCCTTGAAATATGGAGGAGAGCGAACGTTAGAGGTATGCAACTTCTTCCCAAAAGAGAACACACTCTCTCTCTCAGTCTTCTTCCTCTTCCTCAAGTGAACTGACTTGATCGTCGGAGGGTCCATCCGGCACACCACCGCCGGGCAGCTCACTGTTTCTGTGTTGCCAGGAAGACGCCGTCAAGAGAAGCTCAGAGTACAAGGAGTATGAAAAGCAGAGGATATTTCGCCCCCGTACAATTGGCTCCATCTGTGGGAAGTTTTTTGATACTCAACCCTTGTTCTCAGAGCTTCTTCGACCATTTCCATGGCCAACAACGGCGAAGCCCCACTGTCCGTCGTCGATGGCGTCACACCTGAGTATGTCCGCTTGAGAGAAGGTCCTCTGAATATTCCAGCCATGGCGGGCCTAGAGACTCCTTCGCGAAGTGCGCGAGACAAACGCGGAAGGAGTGCTGATCGCTCGCAGAGTCCTGGGGGCCGCAGACGCCGGGGGGAGTCCCATGCGCAGCGCCTGGAGCACAAACTCAAGGACCAAGACACCGTCATTCGCAGGATGGCGGCGGAGATGGAGCTGCTGAAATGCCAGATTAAAAGGAAGGGTGTTGCTGGAGAGGGCAACCTCAGTGAGCACACCCTGTCCCCTCGTTGTAGCAGTCGCCGCCAGGGGAGGACCCACTCTCTCTCCATCACCAGGAACTATGGGGTTAGGGGCTCCAACCAAGGGGAGGGCAGGTCCCTCTCTCGCGACAACACATACCGCCCCTCACGCCCGACGCCGACGTCGG